GCAATTGTATTACTTAGACTCATTTTTCGATTATGAAAAACATTTTTGTTGATAAAATTGGCTTCTTATTTTTCTTTCTCTGTACTACCTAAACTCCGAAACTGACACAAACTTCACTAACCGTTTTTTTTTTTTGAATCAAAATCAATCATCTCATTGCATTGCTACAAAATCAGCAAATATGCAAAAGAATTGTTTGATGGCAGCAAACACGAAGCAACATTTTCAGTTGCATTTGGAAGATTTTCGTCTAAAAGCTCACGTGAGCATTTCGTTTCTGCAATTTGAAGCGGACACTTCATGCGCTCTCATGGCTGACTGCTCCTTGAGCAAACATGCTGGTGTCATCATCATCATCATCATCATCATCCTCCTCCTTGCCTTTCATCCTCTCCTGTTGTTGCCACGACAACTCAAAGTAACGGAAGCATCTCGATGAAAGCAGTGCGGAACCAATCGATGCGCCCGTACAGTAAAAAGGCCTGGGCCTGTGTTCTGATTTCTGGCGTGTTCCGATGTGGCGACCAACCCACCCGGTGTAGGAAGGCATTCGGGGAGCGAGGAGGCTTGAGGTGGCTTCGGTTATCACCATCAAACACGGAACGGCTGTCGTTAAGTCAAGTGCGGGTGGTCCCTGGACTTAGCTTGGGGGTTCGATAGCTTTGGGCCAGTCAAAAGCAGCGGCTTGATTGTGACACGCAGTCATGTTTCATCTCAAGAAAGTCCCCTAGCTTCATGCTAACAGATAATGCCAAACACATTAGAGGAGCTAACAGAAATTAGCATACATGTTGTTTTGATTGTAAACCTTAACACCGGCTACTTCTTGACCTACACAGAGCAGCAGCAGCGCACACACACACACAAACGGAGCACAAAACAAAAACTCGACGGCTCGAATAGCGATTATTTTTATCACCGTTAACCCTTTGACACCTCATTTATTTGCAGTAATTCAAGAGGGATGGCGGGTGCGTTTGCTTTCAAGTAGAAGCTAAATGAAGTTGAGAATGTTAATTTGAGTGCAGCACAGAAAATAGATGTACACTGAGGTATGTTGCAATCAAAAGCACTACCATGAACTATGAAAACACACATGATAAACACAAAACTTTTACTGAAATAAAGTTGAGTTACCTTGACACTAACTCAGTTGGACTGACCTTTGACCTTGGAGCGTGGCGAGTGAGCACTTCGGCTCACTTGGGGGATTCACAAAAGCGATTGTTGTTTTGTCGAGGCGCAGACGAACGTTGCTCTTGGCACATTTGTACAGTCTGGGCTGACCCTTCCAATTGGACAAAGACAAAGAAAGAAGAAATGACTTTAGAGAAGAGCAAGATGTTGTTCTTGTAAATTCACCGATTCACAGATTTGTTTTTATTCGTGGAATCCTCCCTTCCCCATTCAACTTTTTTTAACTTGAGCTCCCACATTTTCGAGGAAATTCCTGGTTTATTTGCGCCTTTTTTTAACCTGGCAAATAATTAATTGCCGATTTTCACGATTAGCCGGTGACTCAGTCTGTGAATAGCAAAAATGCATGAATAAGTGACGCTCCTCATCAGGGAATTTGGTAAAGAAAAAAAACCCTCAAATAAGTCAGAGTTTTGGTGAACAACTGAGATAAAAATAAACTAAAATAAAACCTGCCACTATGTGAATTTGCCAATGCGCATGCCTGAAAATGTGGCGGTCCACTGTATCGCTGCCCCCCCCCCCCCCCGCACCCCCATCCTTGACATTTGAATGAAAGACAATTCATGGCAAAAAAAAGACAAACGAGAGCAGTGACTCCAAGTCGATGACTAAGTGGCGTAAGGTCCAGTAGGAGCAGTCGCAGCCAGCGTGAGCAATACTCACTCACGCGTCGGTCACAAGATGTGGTGGGCGAGCGCTAAAGGTGCTAGCAGCGTCAAGGCGCTTCATCACTGACTCAATTCTTAGCTTAAAAAAAACGTGTTAGAACTTTTTCACGTCCGTTACGTGGACAGTCATTGTCATTTTTTTTAAGCACACAATAAGTGGTTGGCTGTTCCGGTGGAAGAATTTCACTTTTGTTTGAGGGAGGTTGGGGTTGCGTGACCCTGCAATAGTTTTGGTGGGCTAACGTGTGTGTGTGTGTGTGTGTGTGTGTGTGTGTGTGTGTGTGTGTGTGTGTGTGTGCCTCACTTAAAGGGCGTCCCTGTTGATGGCAGGAAATATGACGTCAACATGCTAATGACAATTGGCTCTCAATTAATTTGGGGACCATAACTGGAGTGTGTCTGTGTGTGTGTGCCTGTGTGTTCTTGTTTTTATACCAATGTGCAGAACCACCTTTAAAATGGGGCCTATATTTTACAGGTGACTGCACTCTGTTTTTTTTTCCTTCTCTAGCACATCAAGTTTTCATGAGAGTCAAAATATAGTCAGACTAATATCTGAAGTCATGTAGCATTACATTTGGTGTGAGCGAAGGGTTTCGCAACTCGTGGTCGTTCGGAGCCGAGTTCATTTGCACGGACGTTTTGAGTGAAAAATAAATTGCCGTGACGGAATGAACAGACTGATCTTTATGACGGAAGGACAACGGTGTCAGTGTTCAGCACGACAACGACTGTCAGCGAAGGGCCGTTTACATCTTGAACGTGTATGAGGAAAACCACATCCGAAGCTTCGCAGTGGCCCGCGTTCCACTCATGGGCAGCTGTCTTGCTTTGATACTTGTTTCACTTTTCACACGCTTGAGAAAATACCCCCCCCCCCACACACACATACACACAACAAAAGGCGATGTACCAATCAGAACTCCAATTGCGACCGTTGCTAACCAAAATAGCAGCAGGCCACCAAGGCACGTAAACGCTCTTTCATATTAATCCAAGTTCCCATCTGCGTCGTATTCAATAATAAACATCGGGGTATCACAAAAATAGCAATATCCCACTGCCGGGGGTGGGGTGGGGGATGGAGGGGGCGTGGCTAGGGCGGAAGCTCATAAACCCCCAACTGTGTCTGGTACTCGCCAAACAGTGCGTCCCTGGAAAACCCCCCCATCGGCTCCATCAGTATTCCCGTCGTCCGTACGGAAAGACGGCGTCACGAAGCAGAGAGAGAGAGAGAGAGAGAGAGAGAGAGAGAGAGAGAGAGAGAGAGAGAGAGAGAGAGAGAGAGAGAAAAGAGGCTCTCGCCGGAGGAGGAGCGGCAGGAGGGAAGCAAAGAGGCGAGCACGTCTGCGCCTCCTCATTTTCAACCTTGACGAGCGCGGCACGACACGGGGATGGCTCGCTGACACGTTTCGGGGGAAACAAACAAACAAAAAAAAAAAGGTGCGTTGACCGGCCAAATATCAGAAGACTGCCGTTGCATTTTGTTTGGAGCGCCTTGTTGTTCCGTAAGAATCGCGCCGGTTCGAAAGAAGCCGAACGTGACTTCCTTCCATCGGCGTTTTGTTTTGCTGTGCGCATCCTGAGAGACGTGATAGACGTGATGTATCTCGCGTGTCAATAGAAAAAAGGCTGACTTTCGCAGCCCGTGTGTCGAAAATGGAAATGCTTCTGTTTCAACGAGGTTGAAGTTGGCTCAATTCCGCCTTTAAAAAAAATGTGTGTAGGTACGAGTGTTGTCCACAGTTTTGCAGGGGGAAAGACGCTTGTTTCCTCAGTGACTACAGTTAAAAAAAAAAAAAATATATATATATATATATGGCATCGAGTTTCTCAGCTGTTTCACTCTCGGACCCCGGGTTTCAAATGAGACTGCTTATGAAAAATCCAAAAAATTAACTTCTAAGTGTCCAACATAGACATTCATAATGTCATCAGAATTTATTTATTTTTTTTTTTACCCAGAATGTCTTCTTTGGTGGTTTTATTTGCTAATGTAAAGGGACACTCGATGGCCCGTTCTTGACTTATTTGAGAGGAGTTAAAAAAAAAAAAAAAAGTAAATCTGTCCAAATCAATTCCGACTCAGAGGTCACTTCATTAGGTACACCCGCATCGTCCATGTTTTCAAGTTGACACACTTGCCAGCTGCTGCTCAGGTTGCCTCACAAGATGCTGTTTTCAGGCATGCAAAATCAGCCATTATGTCCCGCTATTACAAAAAAAAACAAACAAAAAAAAAACAATGCATCAAGACTATTGTTTCGGACGAGTCCTCCCATCCGAGACACATAAAGACGCCACACCAGTTTGAGCGAAGATGATGGCAGGCAACCTGCAGGATTTCCCGTTCCCAACGTTTTTTTTTCTTTTTCTTTTTCTAAGAACGTTGTCTGTACAAGTGTCCAGACGCCGCGGCGTTTTCTCTGAATATACGGCGGCGGTCGCAGGCATTCCAGGAAATAAAATGTCACGTTCGTTGCGTGGAAATAATAAAACCCTCGCTTCTGTTGATATTGCGTCGCCATGGAAACAAAAGCCGTTTGTATTTATTTCCAAACATCTTCTCTGCTCTGCTACCACAAGCTTTGTTTGTAATAATCACGGGAGAGCCTTTTCTGGGTGAAAAACAAGCCATTGTGACCCATCGGATGTGGGGAAACTTCTTATTTGGGGTTTTGCCTGCCAAGACGATGTTCATTCCAGCTCAAAGTCGAACCAATATGAAAAAACTGGTCATTGCGAGGCTAGAAATTGGAGTTTTTCCCCTGTGAAAAATCGGATGTCCAGTATGCGGGAAAACCAAAAGTGAAGAATTGTCTCCAGGTGAAAAACAAGCAATTGTGAGGCGCTGCGGTTTGGACGAGTTTCACTCATCGGTGCTGGTTGCAACTCCGATGAGAATAAGTCCAAGTTGTTCCAGGCACAAACCAAGTATGAATCTTTACAATTGCTCGTGTTGCCCCCATGAACAGTGCTGCAGTATTTTCCCACCCCCAGTTGGTAGATCCGTGGCATAAATCAATATCCGCTTGGCAAATCCGAATCTTCACCATTGTTTGTTTTTCACTAGAAAGAAACTCACAATTTCTTTTCTACTCCGCGTCCGTCTTCTGTGCGTCTTTCTGTAGATCCGCACGAGGCCAAAGCATCCCGCCGGGGTGTGAGGTGGAAGAATTTGCCCCACCCCCCATGACTGACTCGGGTCATCCCGCAGTCTCGAAGGCACCGCCGAGTGGATGAATGCCCGAAGAATGGCTTCCTTCAGCGCCTCGCATTCCGTTGGACTCTCTCGACAATGAATGGATGTCGGCTGGGTGTCGAGCGTCGTGTGAAAGACACGACGTGACCTCGGAGCCCGACGACTTTGGCCGCCGTTTGAGGAGGGGACGAGCTGGCGAGATTTCATTGACATTCATGGCTGTCATTTAACACGTCCCGGCGTTGAGTTGTCGAGCCCCGCCTCCAGCCTCCCCGTCCCGCCCCCTCTCCGCCCTCCCCCCCGCCATGGTGATGTCCCGGGGCACGTCCACCTTCCTGGCTTGCTTCGCCGGCTTCTGGCTGGTGTGGGCCCTGGTGGTCATGCTGTGCTGTTTCTGCAGCGTCCTGCAGCGCCGGCTCAAGCGCCGCGGCGACGCTCGCCTGAGGGAACGCTGTCTCCGGACGGTGGAGACGGAGACGCCGGGATGCACTGCCGTCCCGGCCTTTGCGCCGCTTGCGCAGGCGTCGCCGGCACCGGTGGCAATGCCCATGACGATAGCGCCGGCGCCGCCGGTGCCGCCGCCCCAGCAGCAGATGCCACGCGACCCGCCGCCGGTTCCACTTCAGGTTTCTCATCCCTTGCCGGAAGCAAACTGGGTTAGCGTTCCGGGTAAGTGCTTGGAATTGGCTTCTGTCAGTTTTAGATTCATCGTTTGAAGTTTCACCGTTGTCTGTTTTTCACCTTTGGGCAACGCTCTGGTTTCCATGCCGGTTACACCCATCGCTAGCATAAACGCGGCCCAAATCTGAAGCGTTTTTCACCGATAGGTAGCTCTGCGGTTTTAGACCCGTTGCCAGAATAAATGTCTTTTCCATGACAAAAACCCAAATCCGAAGTTTCGTGCATGCTGGACATCCTTTGCCTCCTTTGCTTAGATTTACTTTTCTGCCTTCCTGCCTGACCTCCCTCAGCTCAGATGTGATTTTTTTTTCTTTCCTTTCTTTTCTTACGACGACTTCATTCGTTTCTTCTTCACCTATTCCAAAACATCTCAAGAATCCACCTTCTCTTCCATTTGGTGCCTTTATGGGATGCCCAAAGCTTACAATTGGAAAAAAAAAAAAAAAAAAAAGAGAAGAGAGCATCAGCGTCAGCCAGTGGCGCCAGTAAATAAAAGCCGAAAAGAAGCAAGGTGGCGCCGGAGTGAGACTGATGAAGAGGTGTCGGTATCCGGGCAGCGCGAGGACTCAAAAGGAAGAAGCAGCTGAACCTGAGCCAAGAGCGCTTTTTAACAGCTCCATTGAGACTTCATTCCGGACACATTTTTGGCTGACCTTTTGTTTTGTTTAGTTTTTTTTGCAGCTATACTCAACCGACAAGCTACTGTAATTGTAAATCTTTGCGGACAAAACCCAAATCGTAAAACTCGCAATTGCTTGTTTTTCACCCACAGACGGCATTGTGGCTTTCATACGGGTGATGCCAAAAACCTCGAAGACCCGTCGTCTTTACTGTGTCATCGACAAAACCCACAGCTTTAGATTCAAATGCAAAATGTCTTTGCCGTTCTTGATTGTTGTTTATTCCGTTTTCAGACAGCCCGCCAGATCTCCTGTTGGCTGCACCTCTGACGATGAAAAGTGTTTAAAAAAGTTATGAAAATTCCACGACCAGTACACACGTTGATGGTGAAGTCAACATGAAAAGCGGAAAACTGGTTTTTCGCTTTTCATGCCGTTGACACCGCTAACCGGGATAGCTGTCGTTCGTCTTCACGGTCAACCACCCCACCCCAAATCTGAAGCTTCACAATTTCTCGTTTCTTCCAAGTCAGTCACCTTCAATGACATCACATTGAAGGTGCCGCCGCGACGAAGCGGGATAGCGAAACAATAAGCTCTCGCGCGGTATTTTGCCCGAGCGCCGCGGTGCAGCGGAGGCGCACGCGCATCCATAAATACGACCCCATCCAGCGCATCCATGGCAACCGTTCAACAAAACAGATGCTTGCCCGCCTTTCAAACGCCAAGGTCGGATATAAATACGGCAGCGCCGTGCCAGCAACAAACGGCACGCCGCGATGCCGAGGTGCGGCGTGTGGGCGCGGAGCGCTGATTTCTATAGCGTTGTTGTTCTCGTCCTCTGCTGAGTACAAAGACATTTGCCGGCGTTTTTCAAGGTAATTGATGACACGCGGGGAATGCCGCTAATGAGCTGACTAATGGCAAATGGATGACTCGGCTCGCGGAATCATGACTCTGCAGGATTTGGAAAACCCAAAAGTGGCTCGCCGGTCATTAAAGATGAAAATTAACAGAGTAGGAAGTTGACTCAAATTAAGCTCTGCTTCTATCGGTGTATGGGAGAAAGGAAAAAAAAAAAACTTTGGTGGTTTAGTGAAACGTAACGACGTACTTGATTGTCTCGGTGTTCCAGAAGCAGATCTTCTTGAGAACCCGCCCTGTTATGAGGAGGCGGTGCTAATGGAGGATCCTCCGCCGCCATACGCCGAGGTCCTGGTAGAACCGAGAGTGGGCGGCGGCTACTTGAAACACGCCGCGCTTCGGGCGGCGCCCCCGCCCCGCCGGGACCAGCGGGACCCGAGTCCGGAGACACGCAAGCCCCCGCCGCAGTCGTCATCGTGCGTTTTCCCCGAGCGGGGTTACTCCTCGCTCATCCGTTTGCCTTCATCGCAACGCTGGGACTCGCTGGGCCACTTCCTCTCCAACGTGGACTTGAAGCCGTTCAACCCGTACGACCCGGTGCCGCCGGGCGTCGCCACGGCAACAATGCCCCGCCGCGACATCAGGACTGGACGCGACGGAGGCCGGGCGCAAGGACTCCAGGTCGGGTTCTCCGGGGGGATTCGGGGCCACGGGACACGAAGACTGGAGCGCACTTGTGGTCTCCCCGCCGCATTCTCCCTGTTGGGACGGAGCACAGCCGTTTAGGATCCCCTTTTTGGGTCCGGGGACCCCTCACAAGGGGGAATTTACGTGCCGAACCCTGCCATCAAGAGCGAAAATCCCTAATTGGTAGTTGCTTAGAATCTTGAAAAAAAAAAAGCCAAAAATATAAGAAACCTCAAGGTTTTAAGATAACATTTAAGTTAAATAACATGAATCTTAAATCTTATATCTACGCCTTTTGTTAATAGAAATCAAAACAGAAAAATACTTGAGCAAGCCCAGCTTTAAGGCTGCGGCAAGCAAAACGTCAAAATGAATGGAATGAATAAAATAGTTGGGGATAGGCTACAACAGCTCACCTGCGACTCATGAGCTCGCGGACCCCTCAGGGTACCCGGACCCCCATTTGAGAACTACTGTCCTTGCGAGCACACACTCTCGAGGCACGGAGGATGCTAACTGACTCAAACCGAGTCCATTTCATCCAGAACGTCTTTATTGTGCCGAGCTGCCGTTGCCATGGCGCCTGGGAGCTGCGTGTTCTCCGCCAGGCGACCCCCCCGCGTTGGAGCACTCGCACCACTTCCATGTTCAGCAAGTCTTTGTAACGTCAAATTTCCAATATTGGGGAAAATAAAAGTCATTTGTAGATAAAGAGGCCAATTCAGACTGCTCTTCCTGAATTAAGATTGGTCGCCACCAGGTAACGGTGTGGGGGGGGGGGGGTGATGAGTCACTAATGATGGGAGTGTATTTTAAACCTAAATATATATGCAGAAACCGGTGTTGGGAAATAAAAGACCAAGGCCCCGGATTTTAAAACAGGAATAAATCTTAATATGGATTCGACTCAACAAGTACTTGTGGAAATCTACAACTCTGGGCTACGTTGGCTCTCCCAACAGCACACGTCCATGGCTAGCTACCTGTTCGTCGCACCACCACCGTCACGTGTTACAAACCCTAAACATCATCTACACTTCAATAAATTCACAAGTCATTTTGATCAATATATACAAACTTTAGATCAACAAATCACATCGTACTCACCACAGCTGTGAATTCGGAGGCTTCGTCTGTCTGTGAATGTCTACGGTGACTTCCATACAAAAAAAAATCTGGATTGAGACAAGTCACTCAGCAAAGCAGTTTTGGTTGACCTAGCTTCATAAAGTCTATTTTATAATATTTTTATTGAAAAGTGCATCTCGGTGGTGAATATTTATTCATGGTCTGACCCCGTCGTCCATTGTAAGTCAAACTTCGGTGTACATGGAGTTCAACCAATCAGAGGGCTCACACGTATCTGAACCAATAAGGGGACGGAAAACTCGTCACCGGTAAGCAGAGACAATCTGATTGGCTAAAAGAACCTGCGATGAATAACGGTGTGAGCGTATATGTGTGTGGTTGACACTCGCGGATTGGACGAAATAACGTGCATGGCAACACATCGAAGCTGAAATCTGATTGGCCAGAAAATAAGTAATCACAAAACAAAAGAGTATCCGCTCGCCACCCCCCAAAAAAAAACAACAACAAAAAGAAACAGACACGTTGCACCTTTAGAAAACAAGTTTAATTTGAATGCATCGGACATTTTCAAGAACAGATCGTGACAAATGGAAACCATGACGTCTACTGTACGTTTCGTTTATGTTAAATCGATTATGTTGTTAAGCAAGGAGTCAAAGAGCGTGGATGAATGATCACATGAGAACTAGCAGCGGCTTCAACCGTTCAAAATAGAGCAAAACAAGAGTGACAAGCGCGCGTGTGTGTGTGTTTGTATGCGCGTGATTAAAGGCATCTTCTCAGGACAACCCAAGCAGTTTCAATTCAAATTCTGATTTGACTCTCAACTCATTATTGGCCAAAAGCATCTCTTTTCATCAGCAGATTTTAAAACACTCAAATCACAAAGTCAAAATTATGTTTATCTTTTGTGTATGTAAACCCTTACTCAAAAGATTACAACTTTTTTTTCATGTTAGAAAAGCAACTTTCCAAAAATCATTTTTTAAATACTTTTGAGAACTCAGTAAAAAAAAAAAAAAAATCCAATGAACGAACACAGCAAAGTAAAAGTTGCAAACTTATGAAGTGATGTTCATATGAGCGTCATAATGAGCCAAATGATGTCACGCACGCATGTACACGTATTATTATTTATTATTATTGCCTAGAGTTTCAATTTTCTACAAGGAATATACAGCCAAAAACAGACTACAACGTTGTCGCCAATATTCAAAAAATGTCCTGAATGTCAATTTGATCCTCTAAAAGAGTATTGGTGCCACATGGAAAAGAAAATTATCAGGAAGAAATTTTCAGTGTGGCTAAATATTCCTTTGCGTGAATTTTCTTGGGAGGACCAAATGTTTGTAAAGCTCAAAATGTAAACTATTTTCATTTCCCCGATATTTGGTTTCTCAAGGTTAGTCGCTTACACTTTCAACTAAGTGCACGCGCAATTTAGAACTCCATTTCAGTTTTTTTTAAGTTAGTTCCTCCATTTAATGACGTGATCAAATCCAAATCAACATATCCAAACTACTTTTTTTCATGACTGTGCAACATGTTCATTGCCTTTGAAAAGAAAACTCTTCTAAAAACCTGGAAAAATATCTACAGTAGAATCATCGGGATGCCTTTTTTTTTTTTTGCATCTGTAAATTCATCCCAAAAAAACAACAAAAAAAAACGGGGCAAAGGTACGCAATTGAGTCAGACACTGCGACAAGAGAAAAGCGCTCCAAAAACTAAATTGAGACACTTAAATCTCTTTCTCAGCCCCCCTCCCCACCCCGCAAAAAAAATCCCCCACAAAAAGTCAATTGAAAAAATATTTTGCTTTTGATGCGATGAATAAATATTTAGCCTCTGGGATGACTAGACACAAGATTAAGCGACTCGGACAAAATGAGAAGAAAGGCAGCTGAAGACGATTTATTCGGTATCAAATAAATGCTCAAACAACATTAGCATGAAGCGCTAGTAGAATGAATCGAATACTAGTAGCAGGCAGTTGTCAACGAACGTGCCGCTCGTAACGTAGTCGTCAACAAAGTTGTTTGGCTAGTAAGAACAAAGACCGCTAGTAAGAACAGAGACCGCATCCTTGGTTTCCTTGAGGTTCATCTTCTAGTGCCCTCTTTGTCCCCACGAGTAAGACAATTCACTGCACTAGTAGACCAACTGGTTTGCTAGTGATATTTTGTTTTCTTAATGATATTTCTGCACACTAATCGCACAACTTTGCCATGCAATTAAGGACATGTTACGAGGCACAACTATGCTAGTAGAACCTTTGTAGATGTTAGCTAGTGGAACTAAATAACATTGCTACTCGCGCCAACGAGCACATGGCTGTCTACTAGTGCAGTTGGGCCTCAGTGTAACCTGCACTTGCACTAGTGTGCAGAAATGTCGTACAGTAGTGGAAGGCGGCAGTGGGCAAAAAATGACTCACCAGTTATCCTAACTTGTGCACTGAATGATAAAAGAGTGTCGAAGTAGATGGACCAAATCGGTAATAGTCAATCAAAAGTGGCACTAGAAGTGGAACACCGTCATTTTACTAGTAGCCGAAGTGTCTTACTGGTGAGGACAAAAGGTGTACTAGTACACAAACCTGGAGATGGATATTGACTAAATGCTGAAATGGCTAATTGGGAGCGCTAGTAGAGCAACTGCGTCTTACTATTTACATTTTTTCCACTACCGCATGACATGTCTGAACACTTGTTGGACAATTCTGGCAAATAGTAGGGTTGGGCCCTACCTTGAGTCTACTCGGGTGTGTGTGTGTGTGTGTCACATGCCAACTCGTCGGGCATCGTAGTTTTACGAGTGCAGATACGTTAAGAGTCATACTAGTAGTGGAAAAAAATGTTACTAGGAAGAAACAAATCGTCTTGCTAGTGAGGAAAAGGCGTAGTATGTGGAACTGAAAAGCGGATCGTGAATAAATGCTCAAACAGCTTTCCATAGCACTGAGCTATCTCAGTAACATCCCGGTTATTACATCTGCGTAGCGCAAAAAAAAAAAGAAATAAATAAAGAAACAAACACATTTGCAAAAAAATTATAGCGAAACCCCACTCGTTTGGCTACTGTTATTTCCTCAAAAACAAAACAACAAAAAAGAAAAAAAACAGTTGCTTTCATTCCAGACTTTTTTCGTTTGTCTCTTTGCATTTTTACATTTTTTTTTCCTAGAAAAATGGGTTTCTTTTTACGAAGCGCACTTCCTCATTTCCGGCCTTTCGGTCGTCGGGATTGCCCAGCCGGCTAGTCATCGTCGTCGTCGTCGGCCACGGGGTCGGCATCCCAGCATGTGATGTCAATCTCTACAAAAACACCACGCGACAACAGTCAGATGCTACGTTATCAATTTTTTTTGCAGTGGCGCAAGCGCAAACCATTGCCAAAAAAAAACCCCAAAAAAAAAAAAAACAACTGATTTTGAAGTGGAGTTATCCCAGAATATTACAGTGAGTAAGAGAAGGGAAGGCTGTTTTAGCCAATCAGAAACCGGAAGAGACATTTTCAAAAAAGGCACAATGGCAATAATCTACTCTGATTATTATTATTACTATCCTGAGATGATGACAACTAGAAACTAAAGACGCCATTTCTGGAAAACGCAGACTGACCTGGTGCAATTTGTTTGCAGTGGGGCAAGCTCAAACCATTGCCAAAAACAAAAAACACAGATTTTGAAGTGGAGTTATCCCAGAATATTACAGAGAGTAAGAGAAGGGAAGGCTGTTTTAGCCAATCAGAAACCGGAAGAGACATTTTCAGAAAAGGCACAATGGCAATCATCTATTCTGATTATTATTACTACTATCCTGAGATGATGACAACTAGAAACTAAGACGCCATTTCTGGAAAACGCAGACTGACCTGGTGGCTTGTTATAAAGGACGGGTGCGGGTTTTGCCGAGCCCTCCTCCGATTGGCCGAATTCCTCTTCCTGCGATTGGCTGAAGTAGCCCTCACTTGCCTGTGACGACAGAAGCGAGGACAGGAATTCTTGACAATGTGAAATATGAAGGCGAGGAACAGACGTCTGCAAAAAGTCAATCGTGACGCACTCAATGTTGTTCCAGTCCAGTCCTGTGGACGGCGCCAATGAGCATTGGGAAACGACAACATGGAAAAAAATAGATCTTCTCCTGACATTTTCATTTTAACATTACAATTAAAAAAAAATAATAAAAAAAATCTTACGAAGTTTGCACTTTTTTTTGTAAAATTACAACTCAATCATTTTGATAGTTTAGCCATAATCTTGCCATTATGCTGCAACTATTTGTGGCGCCAATGGGCATTGGGAAATGACAACATGGAAAAAATAGATCTTCTTCCGACATTTTCATTTTAACATTACAATTAAAAAAAAAAAAAAAAAATCTTACGAAGTTTGCACTTTTTTTTGTAAAATTACAACTCAATCATTTTGATAGTTTAGCCATAATCTTGCCATTATGCTGCAACTATTTGATACCTGAGTTGCTTCCTTCATCAGCATCTCCCCGTTGGTCATGAGCATCTGACCGTCGCCGGCGGCGTGTTGCAACGCGTGCTGGTAGCTGAGCGTCATGGGCTCCGAGGCGCTGACGTCGACCAGGCTGGCGGGGTCGTCCTCGGCGGCCGAGCACACGCCGCCGTCCATCATGTCGTCGAAGCTGAGGAGCGGCTGCGAGCGGACGTCGCCGGCGGCGGCGAGATCGCCCATCAGGTCCAGCGCATCGGAGGAGGCGCGGGAGGGCTCGGCCGGGGGGGCGGCGTCCCACACGTCCACCAGGTCGTCCGTGGTTGAATCCCACGTGGAGAAGGGGGCGGGCTCGCGGGCCTGCGGGGCCACGCTCTGCACGGGCTTGGAGGCGGCGCTGGAGTCCTGGACCGAAGCTTTCTGCTCCTGCTTTGGCTCTGAGGGGCAAATCCGCAACGATATGCTCAAGGTGCAGATCGTTTCCATGGCAACGGACACTATTTCTCCCTTGATTGTTCAAATTTGAAAGTTCAAATCACCCCATTCGGAAACGCCATCGAGCTCCATGTTGGCCTCCTCCTTGATGGGCGTGGTGACGATTTTGGGGATGGGAGACACGGCGGCCATGTTGCGCTCCCCGCTCGCTTGCTCGTCGTTCTCCCCTGTGGGGGCAGGGGGCACAACGGCACACGACACTTCATCAGACAAGCTTAAAAGTGCGACCAAAACAAAAAAAGATGCGACTCGAACCTCGATTTCAACCCCACCGAACACCAAGAAAAGCTTTTCGGACGAGACGACTCATACTGCGCTAGCAAAGCAAGGCCAGGACATGCAATCAGTGACACACTCACAGGTAAGCAAAGATGCATCGCGTACACGTCGTGCGCGTGTGTGCCAGAGAGTTTGTGCAGGATGGGATTCAAAACGGACGTTGTCGTTTAGGAGGGCCGAGAAATCAAGCAAAGGGAATAAACCAAAACATTTACATACTTTTTTTTTGGGTAAATGATTGCTTTTTAGGATATAATAGTTGGGTCAAAGTTTCAAGAAAGTGAAGCGCTCCGTCGAGTCCGAGTCTGGACATTCATTTGGCAAAGCTAAATCAAACTTTGGGTGATAATCCTCTCCCAGTTTCACTCTTGGTTGATTTTCACAGCTGTAATTAGTGTCAATGAAGTCTGCGCAGGCGGCAAAATCCAAATATGACAATTGCTTGTTCACGCCTCTAACGAGTATACATTTTTACAGGCGAACCTCAAATCTGAAGCTGCATTTCACCTGCGGACGGCTTGATGATTTTTCTTCATTTTGGGCCCCGTCTCTAAATAGTCTCCATGGTAAAACCCAAATCTGAAGCTTCGCATTGGTTCGTTTTTCACCTGGAGACAGCTCTCCGCTTTTCAGGTCGGTTACACCCTTCCGTTGCTGCGTCGGGGAAGAACGCGCTGTACCTACCGGCGGCGCGGTGCGTCCGTGCGTGCGGCGCGGTGGCGCCGCGCAGGGGCGACACACCCCTGGGCGGGGGAGTCGAAGTGGGGCTGCTGGGACTGTGCTGCTGCCTCAAGAAAGGGCTGTCCAAGCGGCCTGGCGGTGGGGGGGTCGGAAAAAGTAGACACACCCACCCACGCACGGGCGACGAAGACAACGAGCAACGCAACCAAGGAAGAAAGACGACATGAGAAGGAAAGGGGGGAAAAAAAAAAATAACAGGATGCCGTTGTGAAGAAAGTAAAAAAAAAAGAAAAAAATGAATGGTTGGGGTTAAACAGACAGAAAAGAAATCCAAGAGGGAAAAGAAAGAGAAAAGAAGACGAGGTTAGTGAACTTGCACACGCCGACAGTGCAGACCGCATGCAAGAAATTAAACGCAGCTGCTTCTTTTGTTTTGTCAATCGCCTCCCCAAAAAAATAATAATAATAAATAAATAAACAACTTGCAGCAAGAATAAAGCGCAGTGTAAAAAACATAAAAAATCAAAGAAAAATTGGCCACTCGACAACCTATCATGCTGTTGTCATAGAAACACATTTTTCCGAGCGAGATCAGGGCCTCGTTCCACACAAGACACCCTGCACCAAGTATCGGGAGACCCAACAGAACATTGAACCGGTTCTCTCACATCCTATTACCTCCACCAAGGAAGTCACCACTGTCAGAGTGGTGAGGTGAAACCGTCCGGTTTCAGCCGGACTATAGAAAAGACTGAAAAGTGTGCTGTAAATTGTCTTCAAGTGCATCATGTGACTCACCGGCCCGGTGGATGGTGACGGGCGAGGTGTCGACGCTGATGGTCATGGCTCGTTCCTTCTGCTTGAAGAACTCGCGAGGGTTTCCGGACCGCTGAGCGATGATGGCCTTCGCCTCCTGAACATGTAAGCGGGATGGAGAGATTGATTTTAATTGCATGTTTGGTGGGATGAAAAAAAAGAAAAAAAAAACAAACAAAAATAGTTTCAGCATACCTCCACTTCAGACTCTTTCTTGTCCAGGCTGAGGTCATCGATGCTGAGCTCTGCGGGCTGCGAAATTCACAAGTTCATTCGTTTCTTTTCCTTCGATGAATAATGACGGGCCGAACTTGAGGTTGCGTGCGAAACTGTGCCGTGTTTCAACCTCAAGAGGCGTCGCATAGTTACGGCAACACGAAGAAGGCTCAAGTTTGATTTCCGATAAGCTTGCGTTCACTTTCCGGCTCCAACCGCGAGGTTGACGAGGCCGCATACCCGAGAAGCCGAGACACTTACTAAGGTGGTCTGGGTCTGCAGTCTGTCTTTGGCCTCCTCTTCCTCTTGCATCTTCTTCCTAAGCACGTACCGAACCAAATCACGTGATGGATTTGGATTAGGCGCTTTCGATTTGAAATATGAGACTCTTATTTTGACGGAATTTGGGCGTCACCAAGGTCACCTGTGCTCTTCGATCTGCCTCTCTCGCTCGCGGTACCGCCGCTCTCGGTTCTCCTGCTCCTTCCTCTCCAGCTCCATCCGCTCCTCCTCAAAGCGCTGACGCTCCTCGGCCAGCTTCTTCCTCTCCTCCTCCTTCCTCAGCTCCTCCTCGCGCTGGACACCCAAAAAAACCTTTTCACAGCCTGTCGGCAGCATTATTGTTGGGATGTTTTTTTTTTTTTGTTGTTGTTTTGTTTTTTTTTATTTTTCCCCTCTAGGTTTGCTCAACCAACCTTGGCCTGCTCCCAGAATTCTTCTCGATTGATTTTCTTCATCTCCACCTCTGCGTTGGTCTTTTGGTATACCGTACCCTTCTCCCGGGGAGCGGAAACAAGAGAAACAAAAGGTGAGGAAGGGTTAACTTTGAGTTAAAATACGCACATCAGTATTGTGTGATATCGTGACTGGAGGCAACGGCATCATCATCAGACTGCATTGTCACAAACATAATATCAGAATTGTCGTCAGTCGTATCCTAATTTCATTCAATTGGATCATAATTGGACTCAATCCTGTCACAGCATCATTGTCGTCAATCGTCTTGGGATTTGTTTCGCAGCGGGACGGAAACGTGCCGATTTGCGTTTAGCGGGTGTGAACAGATTTTGGCGTAAATAACGGCGCATTGTTTTGTTATGGCCGCCGGAGTCAAATCGGGTCCTGGCTGGTTTCATATCATGCTGTACTACTTGTGGCGATTCGTATCGTGTTCGTCACTGCTGCGTAAACGTAACGGTTCCCCTTCCGATACCACGTCTCCGTGCTCCTCCTCTCGGGTTTTCAGGCGGCTCAGGACGGGACTTGCCGCCACGGTCGTGCCGTTTGTGAGTCGCTGTCCGATGGCAGACGGATCCACGTCGTCCAGACTGCTGGCGTTGATGATGACCGCTACACCCTGACAAAAAGGACGGCGGGAAAATCACTTTTAGTACTTTTGCTGGGAACTTAAGCGGCGCGGCGCGGCGCAACCCTTTCGAGAACCGGCTCTTCATAAACAAGTCGCTGCCGCTTTAATCTCTTTTTCCTTTTATCTACTCCGCAAATGCTAAAAATAGGCCGTCTGCCAGGTGGACTATTTCAGACGCGCACGCGGATACAACACGGTGATGGTGAGGAGGATCGCACAGAGATTACTTAAAAGAGTGACGGTATTAGTCATGCGCGGTGTCATACACACACACGCGCCTCTTTGATCATCCCACACAGCTTTTAACCTGCTTGCTTCCGGAAAAAAAAAAAATATATATATCATTCCGAAAGATGGGCACCTTTTTAGTAATTACGTACCAAGACAGATATGCAAGCGAATGAATAAAATCAAATATTCTGTTGTGGGCGGCCCCGTGATCCAGTGGTTAGCGCGTTGACCTCACAGCGCAGAGGTCGTGGGTTCGATCCCGGCTCCGGCCTTCTTGTGCCGAGTTTGCATGTTCTCCCTAAGCCTGCGTGGGTTTTCTCCGGGTACTCCGGTTTCCTCCCACATTCCAAAAGACATGCATGGCAGGCTGACTGAACACTCTAAATTGTTCCTAGGAGTGAGTGTGAGCGCGGATGGTTGTTCGTCTCTGTGTGCCCTGCGATTGGCCGGCAACCGGTTCAGGGTGTCCCCCGCCTACTGCCCGAAGACGGCTGGGATAGGCTTCGGCACCTCTTGCGAGGATAAAGCGGATTGGAGAGTGGATGGATGGATTCTGTGTTGTATATAAATCCGACTTTCAATTTTTCAACTTCAAAGGGGAAGTCCACCCCAATTTTTCATTGACAAAAATATGTTTTTTGCAGCCCCACTAGTCTTTAAGACGGCATTCTGATTAATAATGCGGATGTGGTATATGAGTTAAGCAGTAAAAGCCACCTGTTTTTTGTTCATCTCAGGAGGCGGCCATTTTGTCGACTGAAAATGACATCACAGTTGCCGGCTCAGGTGAGCTTTTATCACCAAAATTTGACATGCTCCGTCCACGTGAGATACCATAGGCATTAAACAAAAAAAAGCATCTGTCGAGAATACCTTCTTCAAATTGGGGTTCTCATTTGGGAGCGTTCCCTCACACAAGCTGTGGAATTTGCCCAGCTGCTTCAAAGCAAAATGGACCACTTCTTGCTCAATTTGAGACTTCCTCGTGCATCCCGTTACGCTAAACATGGCCGCCAAATTTCGCGCTGATGCCACAAACCGGCGTTGGTGCTCGCACGGGTCGAAATATATCATCGGGGCTTGACGAGGATTACCTGGAAGAAGTCTGCGATGGTGGCCACATGGCTGGCGCAGGCGCATTTCCTGGCGTCGGGGACGTCGTCTCCCACCTGGCAGCGCGAGAGGAGAAGTAAGGTTAGAAAAGCAAATAACAATGGAGCTGAAAATTGGGGCATAGCCTCCATGTTTCGGAATGTAACTTTACCCAGTTGATGAGGATGTATCGCGGCAGGGCGGCGTTGGGCTCCTTCAGGCTGCAGAAGCCGTACATCACCCTGGCGTTGTCGAAAGTCAGCGTGATTTCTGCCAGGCCGCCGCCTGCGGCGCATAGGAGGAAAAACCCGTCAATACCGCGAGATATTCATTGGAAAACGGGTGCAGCGGATAAATGCGAAAGGACCTCCTGATGATGCCAGCGTCAAGTCGTTGCTATCATCTTCGTATGTGTACAAGGCCCTGGAAACAAGGACGCCACAGACAACATTAGCGCTCCGTTCAAGCCATTTAACACTTATTCATCCGGCGAAGTTGTCAGCAAAGAGTATCGGAAATTCATTACGTTGAGTTTTTTTTTTTTTCTTTTCAAGATGGACAAAAGCAGGCATGCATTTTGTTTTATTTGTCATTGTAGATTTCATTGTAGTTTGTGTGCGGGCTCTTTATGTCCGTTGTGGCCGTCTTAAGTGAGGAGGGAATGCCATATTTTCTGGAGGGCGACGGATTTATGGATGAGACAGCAAAAAAAAAAAAAAAACAAACAAAAAAATTAATAAAAAAATAAAAAAAACAAAAGAGGGGTGAGATGAGACGCAGGTTAATATTGAAAGGGCGCCTTATAAATAATTCTCTGCAAAAAGCAGACAGCTGTTTATTATTCATACGCAGCCCCCGTGACCCAGAAACGTTGAGAAAAAAGATGGGAGTGTTGAATCATGGTAATGGGCAGATTTCAACAGAGGTCTGATGAAGGCAAAAAAAAAAAAAAAAAAAAAAAAAAATTTAACCAAAAAAAAAAAAAAAAAAAAAAAAAATTATCAGCCGAATAACAAGAATAAGTGGCGAGGAGTAAAGTGGTGAGAAGTGATTGCAAAAGACAAACTCAAGATTCATCATGAGCTCCTGCAATTCTACTCGATTCACGACATCGCCGTCCATTTCTAGTTATATCCAAGCACCTCAATCTCTTTATTTCCTATTAGCAGCGCAGCAAAAAAAAAAAAAAAAGACAGGCCACTTGGGAGTGTCTCCATGGCAACCGTGCGCATCCCCCAGCCACCCGTCATCATTATGGAGGCAACAGCAGTTTGTGACCGCAGGCTAGCGGTGGTGTTAAATAAAGATCGGAGGAGGATGATGGGAAAGCAAAACGCGTTCATAGTTACAAAAGAGGCTGCTCGTGAAACATACGCGACCTTATGGAGTTTTTCTTTTTTTAGATTTCTAGTCTAAGTTGTGTCAGAATTTTTAAAAAAAATGGCCAAAGTGGAAGATCTGCATTCATATCAATGAAAGATAATATACTTGGTAGATTTGTTTTGACAATTGATTTTATTTTGTGGTCGACTAGCATGGAGGAGACATCAGCAAAATGCCACCAGAGGGCGGTAGAGATCTTTTGACTGATTTGAGTGGGCTTACTTCAAAAGTATTGGAACAGTGAATCCAAATCAGGGGGAAGGTGTGCAAGGTTTTTAACTGGATGAAACCGCAAAACCCAGACTTAAATCATACAGGGAATGCATTTTACCAAAGGGCAAAAAAAAAACAAAACAAAAACAACCCCCCAACCCCCCTCCCCCATGTAAAAGTTTGAGAAAAGCTACAAGGCTGTAAGGTGTGCATGATGAGCTGCCGAAAGTTCCACGGTGTACCACGCTGGAGTCTCCTGCGAGCCGAATGAGATAGATACTTTTGCTCACCAACCGTAAACTCACTATTTGGTGAGAATGAGAAAACCGCAGCGCGGTTATGATGAATCTCTGATTAGAAGAGCTCAGCTTGATCCAAACGGAATGAGCAAAGCATTTTAAGAATGCCTTAACGCGATATGATCTAATTATGGTTCAATCAAGATAAAAGGCTGTTGAAAGGGAGTTTTCGAGGGGGGGAAAGAATTGCTTCAGTTGCCGTGACAACCTCTTCAAAGTGGACTCGGTCCACGGAGATTTTGAGGAAGAGTTTCAAGTCGAAATTAATGAATTCATATGTGATGGATGGCCATGCTTTTGTTGTATTTTTATTTTTCTCCCACGCCATAGAAGCAAACGGGCAGGCTTGTGGCGCACACTTGCTGGCGAGATGATGGCAGCAGTGCAGAGGGGAAAGACAGGTTGCTGCAAGATGATGGCAGCGGTGCAGAGGGGCAAGACGGGTAAACGTCAACTGGGATGCACATTCAATTACACACTCGCCGGCGAGATCCAGCACATTGTTATGCATACACTTGCTGGCGAGATGACCAGACGGCGCCCGCCAAGCAACTGAGACTGAAAAATTCCAGCCGGAAGGGATTCAAACTTACTGGCAGTGAGATCCAGCTGATTATCAGGCACTCGCTGGGGGGCTGCAGTCAACTGCTATGCATACACTTGCCGGCAAGATGACAAGAGCCAATCCACTGCTCGACACCGAGTGCCAAACGAAAAGACTTATAGCGCAAAACGTACTGGCTAGAGTGATGCGGTCTGCTGGCAACCTGACGAGAAAGAGCCACGAAGCCTCAGCGGTCGTACAGCTCAGGCTCCGCCCACAGTCACCATGGTAACAAAAGCCAGACTCCTTAGTGGACAAACACTAAAAGGTTGCAAAAAAAAAAAACAAACAAAAAAAAAACCCTAAAAAACACTGTGTACTAGAAGTTAACTATATTTCTTGATCCTTGGGAGCATTTTGACAAAAGCACATCATTAAATTGTTATAAAATGCTGGGAACTATTTTGGAAAAGAAAAAAAAAAGCATCAAAATGTTTCCTTTTACGGCGAAAGCTGGTTACAGAGTTATGCTCAAACAGGCGGAAAAGTGCCAAGTAAGAGAAAAGCGGCGAGAGAATTTTGTTATTTATTGCGGGAGAAACCATAGCGGTGACTTCATGCACAAGCAATGGAGTGAACACACAGACGTGAGGGACGGGGAATTCATGGGAGGGAGGCGAGCATGAGTAAGACAAGGCAAGGGCCACTGGATTGGTCCTCACACTCTAGTCAACTATTAGTCATATTGTAAAACTTTTTTTTTTTAAGTCATTTTCTTAAAGATTACAAACTCGGAATTAGTAGTCAACTATTAGTCATATTGTAAAAGTTTTTTGGTTTTTTGTAAGTCATTTTCTTAAAGATTACAAACTCGGAATTACACTTAAGGAGTCATTACTTTTTTTTTTACACCACGCCATCATCCACAGCAGGAGGAAAAAGTGATGAGCCATTAAAAAAAAACCAAAAAAAACCAAACAAGTATCGGTTTCTATTTTTAAAATGTCGGGAGTAAAAGTTGTCAGAAAACTAATTCATAAAAACATGCGGCAACAACAATGAAAGGGAGGATAAAGAATATATGCCGGTGCCTCATGCCTTATTTTCCGTCTGCGTCTGTCGATGCTTAAGGTTTTGACATTGTGACGACAGATGCTCTTCGTTAGCACGTCTATGGCGGTCTACATTGTTTTTTTTCTTCTTTTTTCATTTGCATGAAGGTAAGCGGACGTGAAGAATCGTACTCAAAAAATGCACTGAATACGAAAAAAAATGGAAGATATTAAGGGTTTTTTTTTTGCCTCGCCTGATCGTAGGAATGAGTAAACGCCATAAAAAACCAATGGGGTGCTTTTCTGCACCGCTGACGTTTCTTCAGCTTCTCCCTCTGACGACATCACTTCTCTTTGCAGATGTTCGCGGGGCTACAAATGAAACGAGCAGATGGGAATCTGTAGCGCGGATCCCCGCCAAACCGCCGGCTGCAGCAGCTGAGGCAGCAAATTGAGCAAGATTTTTTCCATCGATGTTTTCTGGTTTCATTGTTGTTGAGCGTTGTTGCCATTACCAAAAAAAAAAAAAAAAAAAAAAAAAAGGGGGGGGGGGGCGGCTGACTGGCGCTTGATTGTCTGGATCAGCAACATTTCGGTTGCAGAGACACTGATGATCTCAGATTGTCAGGAAGGACGAAGCTCAAAGCGCCAAACTCGGACTTCCAGCTTGTGAGCAAACCAAATGGAAGTTGAAACTGAGAGAGCGCTGGCGCAACGGCCACGTGAACCATCTCGAGCGTACGAAAAAGTGAAATGAAACCTGCACACGTAAAGCAGAACTTGGGAGGTTAAGTTATATCATCAAAAGGACATAGAAAAACAGTGTTTCAATTCTCTTTTCAGGAGAGCTTCGGCTTCGAGAAAAGCAAAATGGAAGACTTTTTGTGGACTTGTTTTAAAATTCTGGTGTCCCAATTTGCCATTTCAGCGTGGTGCTCCCTCTAGTGGTGTACAAAAGAATCACTGAACTAAATGCTTTTTTTCGCCGTCTGAGTTTGGTTGGATTGTGGCTTATGGACGGGAAAAAGAATCTTGATTGTCCACATGTTGACGTGGCCGATTTCTTCAGCTGGATTTGATTGACATGCTGGATGTTCTGTTAGCCGCATAGCCGAATGGGTCTCTCGGGGGGGACGGCGGGTCCAGGCTGGTGGTGTGAGTCCATCTCTCTCGAGAGAGTCGTCGCTTGCGCTCCGTAATCCAATGCAATCACAACAGCGAGCTGAAAAGCACTCGAGTGCCCCGGGGACAAGTCAGAGAGCAAGTCCATCATTCCAGAAATACTTCAAATGCCCTCCAATTCCTCCGGTTGCTAGCAGACACTTGGGTCTCTTTTCAGCAGCGGTGTGGATTTGCTACTTCTCCGACTTGCGGTAATTACTTTTCTGCTTTGTTTTTCAGTGACCTTTTTAATTAAAGCGTGTGTGTGGGGGGGCAGGGGGGTACACGCATACCGATTATCGGGGCGAATTTGAGAACAAACAGATTATGGCAATTGATTATCCCGAGATGTGGAATGTGTCAACTAGTGGAGCACACACATGATAACGTCTCAAGTGCTGGCAACAAAAATGGGAACACTGCGAAGTAAAAATGTTCACATTTTCTTTCCCCATCTGCTTGAGTATGTCGACAATCGTAAATGTAAACACACATTGGCCTTTTTTTTTTTTTGTGTCTCGACAAAAATCTCAACCGTTTATTTATTTCTAAAATAAATTTTCTGTCGAAACCCTGTAATGTGCTTAGTCTCAACATGCTGTTAGCATGAATGCCATGTGGCTATATTTCATGTATGCTCGTTCTTTGCTAAAAACTCACTCTTCTCCCTTTCATTTCTGTTACGCAAATGACTTTCTGTACAAAACAACCATGGTCATTTTATTTTTTATTTTTTTTAATATTACCCAAAATGGGCCACGGACTGCTTCA